CAGTTCCATCTGTATATCTAAATGTAGTTAATTATATAATTAAAAACAATGTCATTAATGTGTATTCCGTATGTTCAAATGGCCGGGCAGGCCAAGGAAAACTATCCCGGAGGTAGTCTAAAATACCAGTTGGTATATTTAAAATTCCATATATTAGATGTAGTGACCGTATATATAATTATATACTGTATATACATATATATATATAAATGTATAGTAACTGGGCCATAATTATATATATAACTATTATAACCCGGTCACTAACCAGTTGACTAATCCCATGGTCCATCGAAGTAGTATCAAACCATATCAAACCATCAATGTATTTGTGCACTCTACAAGTGGGTGTATCTATGTGTCAGGCACCTAGCTAATCCATGCATGGACATGCTTAATTTCATTGCCGTACCAGTTCCGGACAATAATTCATTAGATTTGCTGATCGTCCATATATTATTGTTTGCCACCGACAAGTGTGTAGTCCTCTATTTTCCCCAGTTGAGCACAGGGATTATCAGGGATTATAGCAATCAGGAACCATTGTTAGAGGTAGGTAATGGTTACAGTAAATCGTTGTCAAGTGCCATGATTTCCCACATTGGGTCAAGCTTCCAAGCAGTCCAAGTTGATTCAGCCAGGGACATCATCGTGCCCCCAATAATAGATGGTCAATAAACCCATTTATGATTGATGGCTTCATCTATAGTCTTTTATATTAACATATGAGAACCATGATGTGGATCGACTGGCTATGACAATCGAAATCAATAATCCTGGGGTTTATCTGTAATTGTCATCACAATAGGAATTCATCTAGTTCTATTTCGATTGTAGAAAGCACAAAAAAATGGATAGTCAAATTGTGTGTCATAGTTAATTCAACATGTTGTAGCAATATTATATATATACATACAATCAATATATCAATAATAGCAATCATTATATTATATATATATGTAGTTATGTAGCAATAATAGCAATTAGTTACAATCATTCACCGTTAAATCGATTCACCATGATGTCACCATGACAACCATATATCATATATATATAGATGATTTATATAGTCGAACTGGAGAACTGCCATTGATGATAATGATAATAACAATCATTGAGTTGTAACTGGATTTTATCATAGTTTATCAATATTGACAAACCTATATTTTATCAGTTTAAAACATATATTTAGTCTTCATATTTTATCCATAGTCTTCATATTTGAATGGATTCGAAGGAATTTAGTGATAATAATTATTTTCTGGATTATGAATGACATATTATATTTTAACATATTATGTATTTTTAAAATCCAGCTAAGACAACAATGGATAATCCCCATCCTTTGCTGAGGAAGAGCTTGAGCTGGCCGAGACCTGTCAGTGGCGGTACCCAGTTTTTTTTTTTTTAACCAGCAGTGGATGTGTCTGAAAAATGGTGGAGTTACTCCCAAAATGGCAATCTTCCAAAAAGGTGGTGCCCCCCCAGTTATAAATTGGTTCTAAGCCCATTGACTAGTTCGATATATCACCAACAAAAACCATAGTTATTGGAGTTCTCGGAGTTATGTTCACCAACTTAGCTATCGAACGGGGGCACCAACCTTGTAGTGAAAATGATGATCATTCTGATAATCGGATTCTGGGGATTTTGTGGAAAAAAACCTGGGGGGGGGTTACCATTACCATCAACAAAAATGGTTGGTTCACGGGGACGTCGTATTCAAACATCAAAGTTGAGGAGTTGAGTCTTAAGCATCACAGCATATTACATAACTAAGGCTTCAAAAAAACACATGGGATTTCGCCAGCAAAAAAGTCCGGAGGGTGAACCACGAAAGCAGGTGTTTTGAAGTCCTCGGCGAGGATAGAAGGTGATGGTGACAAATGTCTTAGTTTTCAGCAGGAAAACCATGAGATTTTTGTACCACCAGGAAAGACTAAAGTGGGATTTCCAGTTGACAAGTTCTCCAATGCTGGGATTGTTCTACTCAGATCCAAATTCTTTTTGTACTCTCAAGCCTCACCCCTTCGCCGTAGCCAGGTCATGCCTGGCCAAGGGTGGTGGATGGTGCACTTTGGAGCAGCGCTGCGTGGAAGACGACACCGCCTACTGCCCCTCGGAGCCTCGGCGGAGAGGTTTCCTGAAATGGGGGAAAAAATGGGACAGGACAGGTTGGAGGTTAGGTGGGAGGCTGTTATGTTTTGTTCAATCTTGTAATCTGAAATGTTTGACTGTTTCTTATCCTGGAGATAAGAGATGATAGGAATCAATCAGCGCTATACTTTCCCTTCTTTCCCACCACCGCAAACCACTTGCTCCATGCCCCCAGTCTTCGTTTCGGGATGATTTCATGTTGATCCGGAAACCATGGACATGGCTGACATGGTATCGTATCGGACCAGAGGATTCTCAAGATTTCCCCGGTCCCATACTTGAGCCATGCATGTCATATAGAACCATATGAGGGTTTCTATAAATGGGGGCAAAATGACTGGTTTACGATGGAAAATCTTATTTCATAATGATATCTAGGGGTATCCCCTATGGAAACCCGACAATTTCGATAATCCCATTGGGAATAAATTGCGCCGCAGGAGAGTCTTATTGGGCTGGCCGGATTTACTGATGACTGCGGCTCGGATGAGGAGGGAGCCAAAGCTGGAACCCGCCCCTGGATCGACAAAGGCGGGTTGGCCCGGCGGAGGGCTATAGCGGCGTGGTGATCCGCCATTGATAGAATCGGTTCAGAAAAAGACATCCCTACCAATGTTGGTTCCTGATTAGTGTGTGGCCCCCCCCCCTCCCCCCCCCTCCCTTAACTATATCTGGACTCTCTTTAAAGTAGAAAATCAAAATTTTTCTTCCCAAAAGAAAAACATATCCTCAATTAAGTAAGGATTTCAATTGGCTACAATTGAAATCTAATTACTATTGATTTTTTTGCCGATGAAGTTGTGGTATTTGTAGTACTTGTAGTACTTGTAGTACTTGTAGTACTTGTAGTACTTGTAGTGCTTGTAGTACTTGTAGTACTTGTAGTACTTGCAGTACTTGTAGTACTTGTAGTACTTGTAGTACTTGTAGTGTACTTGTAGTACTTGTAGTACTTGTAGTACTTGTAGTACTTGTAGTACTTGTAGTACTTGTAGTACTTGTAGTACTTGTAGTATTTGTAGTATTTGTAGTACTTGTAGTACTTGTAGCTCTGGCACAGCTTGCTGCAATAGTGAACCCAGCAAACAAACCTACTAAAGTGAAATGGAGCCTCTCCTGGTCCAGGGCCTTGGGAAATTGTGGAAAAGCTGTTCTTTAATAAGGGTTTAATAAGGGATTGGCTCCTTTGGGAAAGGCTTGGAGTTTGAATTTGGCAATTGCCTTTGGAAAAGGCTTGCTTCTCTTCTGGACTTCCAGGGGCTGCTCTGGCACAGCTTGCTGCAATAGTGAACCCAGCAAACAAACCTACTAAAGTGAAATGGAGCCTCTCCTGGTCCAGGGCCTTGGAAAATTGTGGAAAAGCTGTTCTTTAATAAGGGTTTAATAAGGGATTGGCTCCTTTGGGAAAGGCTTGGAGTTTGAATTTGGCAATTGCCTTTGGAAAAGGCTTGCTTCTCTTCTGGGCTTCCAGGGGCTGCTCTGGCACAGCTTGCTGCAATAGTGAACCCAGCAAACAAACCTACTAAAGTGAAATGGAGCCTCTCCTGGTCCAGGGCCTTGGAAAATTGTGGAAAAGCTGTTCTTTAATAAGGGTTTAATAAGGGATTGGCTCCTTTGGGAAAGGCTTGGAGTTTGAATTTGGCAATTGCCTTTGGAAAAGGCTTGCTTCTCTTCTGGGCTTCCAGGGGCTGCTCTGGCACAGCTTGCTGCAATAGTGAACCCAGCAAACAAACCTACTAAAGTGAAATGGAGCCTCTCCTGGTCCAGGGCCTTGGAAAATTGTGGAAAAGCTGTTCTTTAATAAGGGTTTAATAAGGGATTGGCTCCTTTGGGAAAGGCTTGGAGTTTGAATTTGGCAATTGCCTTTGGAAAAGGCTTGCTTCTCTTCTGGGCTTCCAGGGGCTGCTCTGGCACAGCTTGCTGCAATAGTGAACCCAGCAAACAAACCTACTAAAGTGAAATGGAGCCTCTCCTGGTCCAGGGCCTTGGAAAATTGTGGAAAAGCTGTTCTTTAATAAGGGTTTAATAAGGGATTGGCTCCTTTGGGAAAGGCTTGGAGTTTGAATTTGGCAATTGCCTTTGGAAAAGGCTTGCTTCTCTTCTGGGCTTCCAGGAGCTGCTCTGGCACAGCTTGCTGCAATAGTGAACCCAGCAAACAAACCTACTAAAGTGAAATGGAGCCTCTCCTGGTCCAGGGCCTTGGAAAATTGTGGAAAAGCTGTTCTTTAATAAGGGTTTAATAAGGGATTGGTTCTTTTGGGAAAGGCTTGCAGTTTGAATTTGGCAATTTTGGAAAAGGCTTGCTTCTCTTCTGGGCTTCCAGGGGCTGCTCTGGCACAGCTTGCTGCAATAGTGAACCCAGCAAACAAACTTACTCAGATAGAGATGCATTTACAGGCTCAGATAGAGAGATGAGCAAAAACTTGACTGAGCTACAGCGTTTTTGAGAAAAAAATTGCCTCTCAGCAATTACAGTTTTTTTTTCAAAAAAAAGGGCTCTCCCAATTTTGTTTTGCCACAAAAGCGAACCCTCCAAACAATACATGAGTTTCAGAATAATTTGGAAAAATTGCCACAATAGCGACCCTAGCTACTAATCAGGAGCTAACATTATGGTCAACCCAATAATAAACCATCGCCAAGATCACCATTTTTATGGGTGGTAATTGAATTATAGACCGTCCCCAGTCATTGTAGGTTGACTTTTTGACTTGCCCACAGTTGAAGGACTTGGTGATGTGATGTTGCCCGCAGAACCTAGCGTTCGCCCATGATGACATAATATATCTCAATTTTCGCATGGTTTCACCACATGTTTCATCCGCGGTTCTAACCGCCTTGCAGGGATGGACGGTACACTAGGTGTGGCCCCTCACGCGTACGACGCGAAATTTGCTTCATGGCTCGTTTCACAATATTTTGCGGCAACAATCCTTCGCAGACTTCGTGGGGGTCCGTGGAAAAGAAGGGCCGTTCGTGCGAGAAAACACAGGGTCCGGGCAAACGTCCGGATCTGTGCGTGATGTTGGTCTCTTGATTCACTAGATCATTTTAATATGATTCAATACGGTTATCTCCTACTTCTCAAACTTGACTTCCATTTTCTGTCAATGAATTCTCTGCTATTGTTGCTGAATACAACTGTAGACTGTCACACGCAGACTATATTTAGGATGTATTATGTATTTATCTATAAGAATTGTTATAGAGACACTATATATTTTATTTTCAGCTTGCCACGTCTTGAAACTGCTTAGCAGTTCCAGCGTTGATCTCTCGCGCCCTCGAGGCGTCTTGGTGTCCTACGCCCACGAGAACGGCAGCTGCTGTGAGCAGGGCATCGTCCACCGTGCGTACCACGTCTTGGAGGAGTACACCGTGCTGCTGCGTGATGGCTCCAAGGAAGAAGTGCGTCTCGGTAGCGAAGTGATGAAAGTGAATATCTGGGGGTTTAACCCATTTGTGGTCATCAAAGAAGAGGGAAAATGAGATTCTAAACCATTGGATAGTAGGGAAAATTAAACCACTGGATTTACCCCGTTTGGGTTTGTCTGAAAATATGGTACCTCTAAAGCCATGACGGTTAGTCATCATTTTCCCCATTAAATCCATTAAAAAATGTTATTTAGAAGGTGTACCCCAGTTTCAGACAGACCCACCAAGAGACAGTGGAAAATGCCTGAAGTACATGTGGAATTGACATATGATTCGAATGGGAACAACATCTGGAACCAATAATATAATATAAACAAATAAATCAATAAATAAATATATATATATATTGTCTTAATATTTACTGCTGGAGATAATCAATATCAACCAACCATAATGAGGATATAATGGTGATATAATAGGAAATTTCTTTGGGATATGATGGGGACACAAAGGGTATATCAACGACACTTCTGGTTGTGAACTGCAAGAATAATCCCAAACGGCCTATATTTTGCAGGGGGTGTTGAAACCACAGTTAATAAACATGTGATTATAAGAACACCTGATAGAAGGCGAAGAAAAACTTCAGAATATGATTTTCCAAGAAACCACCAGCTGCGAGATAGGTCGATTTCGAATGATTTAAGCCACAATTAGCTGGATTGCAGATGGATTCATGTCACAGTTTTTCCCGGGGGTGAACGTTACCATCATCAAACAACATTTAGGATATCTTAGGCAAAATTGATGATATATGGGTATATATGGTGAATTCCCAGTGCTTGTGGGAAAGGAACTTGCATGCACATTAGGTTGCAAGGTGGACCGCCCCCCAGTTTTGTTTGTTGGTTTTTAAACTCCATTAACTATAGATGATATAGATGTACTGTATCAACTCCACACCCAAATGAACTGTTAAACCAACTTAGCTAATGAACTGGGGTTTTGATGGGTTTTGTAGTTTTGGACCATTTGGTCCAAATGAGAAATCCTCCCCTGGATCCCCGGGTGTGTCACCGTGCCCAGATGGCCAGGTCTCACATTGTCACCCACCGAGAAAAATAATGGTTTATAGTGGCAACAATCAACTTAAAACATCATTTGGTTTTGTTTGAACCTGTGGTATATCTATATATGTACATATAATTATACATATATATATAATATACATATTGTGTACAGTAAACCCAGTTATGGCTGTTGTGGCTATTGGATACAGCACTATAATGATTAAAATCATTAAACGGTTGCTGTTACTGACCCTTTCAGATCGCGAGGAAGACAGATCGGTGGAACAACCGAAAGCCGGCCAAGAAGAAAGACGAGAATTCCGAGCCTTTCGGCTGAGAGTTTCATTGGGAAAGCACCGCTTTTCTGAGCAGGTCGCCATGAAACGAAGGGTTAGAAGACATATAACCATGAATAAAATGCGGGTTTGAACTCACTATGAATACTGTTCAATACTTGGATGTGAGCTCATGACCAAGAACGTTTTTTTTTGCTCCTCCCCAGTTTGTAAGTGGATAATAACCATAGATAACTTCTTAAACATGTTACAAACTGTTTGTATATGGGATATCCCAGGTCAAAAAGATGAAACTTGCACCGAACTGAGGTATCACAACATCGAGTTCAGGTGTCTCGGAGATAGACCTTGAGGTTTATGATCAGATCTTAGTAGGGGAATCAACGGGACACATCCCCCCAAAAAAAACACCCCAAACACAAAATGGTTTATGAATGTTTCTTATATGGTTTGTTGATTTTCAGTTTATCTGAAGGTGTACCCTCTGGTAAACATACAAAAAACTATGGAACATCACCCCAAACAATGGGCAAATCCACTATTTCAACTATAAATTGGCCATTTTCCATAGCTATTTTGACATAACCAGAGGCTATTTTTGGTCTTCAGCAACGTTGCCCCAGATCCCGGCGATTTGGACTCACTAAAAACTGCACCCTTGGAATGTGCCAGCGGCCTTAAACGTTTCCTGTCAACTTTCCCTTGGCTAAACATGCAACCAGCATTGGTCTCATTTATCTCATCTTAGGGTGCTTAGATGGGCCAAGGGATTTTTTCTCAACTGGTTATATGAAGTGGGTCATAACCAATTAGATACAGACTGATAATCCAGTTACTAACCAGTTACCCTCTGGCCGTTTAACATAGCTATGGAAAATGGCCCATTATAGATGATTTACCTGTTAAAATTCCATAGCAATCTGTTAAATTCCCAGGGTTTAACAAGCTCCCATGGCCACCATGGGCTCCGCGGCAGATACTTCAAGCCTCACGAGCTCACGGTGCTGAGTGGCCTGAGACCCAACGACCTGGTTGAGGCCCACTTCGCCGTGAAGACGAAGGACGAGACCCAAACTTCGCTGGTGAAGAGCCGGCCGGACGGGGGAAGAGATGGAAAGAGATGTGGGGCCAAGTCGCTGTTTTCCGGAGAGAATGAAGAAACACACAGTTTTTACATGTTTATACCAACCATAATGGGGATCTAATTACAGTAATTAATTACATCTAATTCATGTTAATGGAATATATATACTGTATATATATATATTATATATATGGATGGAAAGAAGCAACCTTATGGAGATGTATGGATTTGCCCAGATTTGGATAGCCCCCTAAACATGTTCACGTTAGATGAAGATGGGGACAGAAGTCGGTTTCAAACCATTGGATTCTGGGGTGCCCATTTTTTTTTGTGAAGCACGCTACCCTCTGGTAATTTAACAGTTTGCTATTGAAAATGGCCCAGTTGAAATAGTTGATTTACCCACTAAAAATGGTGATTTTCCATAGTTTTTTGTATGTTTACCAGAGGGTATTGGAGGTTTTCCTACCAGAGGGTATTGGAGGTTTTTCTGGATCTGTAGAAGTGGGAACATTTGCGAAATCTTATTCCTGAATGTGCCCACAGCAAAAAAATGAAAACCTCCAGTAATCAAACGTGGCAATGGAAATCCACCATTTAGATCAGAGTCCCAGTTTCACTTAAGCCTCCATTCAGAAAAGAGGATTTACAATTGCCATGTTTGACTGCGGGTCTCCAAAATCGACTTGGGGATTTCACATGCACCGACTGCATCGCCGGCTACAGCTTGGTTCAGTATAGCTACACCTGCCATGAAAGTTGAGTAATGGGCCATCCCCAAGTCACCACATGTTTCAAGTCACTCAAATGGTTCTGGGGAATCTCCAAGTCACCATAGTCACCATGGCTTTCAATTCAATACTAAAACGACCATCCATGACTTGGATGATCTGGGGGTAACCCCATGACTTAGGACACCCAAAAATTTCATCCTACTGGTTCATGGCTGCACCAGGCGTACCGAGCCCGCGATCGTGGTGAACACCACCACGTCAGGGGTCCTCAGTTTGGGCATTCTTTGGGGATCTCGGGGATGTTTGAACTTAGGATGGGATCATCAATGATCATGGCTACGGTTGTTGGGGTGACGTAGCCCCAGAGCGACTAGTATTGTTGGGTTGACATTCTTGGCAAAATCGGCCAAATGGTAACGGTTGGCGATTCCAGAACCTCTGGAGTACTGAAGGCGTATGTGAGAGCGGCGAACATCTTTTGTATGGATGACTCCAGGAAGCTATATCTTATATTAGCATAGAACAAGACATTGGGTTTCTTGAGGGGGTTAGAATTGTTATTCCCCAAATCAACATAGATATATAGGTGGTATAAACCATTCCCAAATGGGTGGTTTATTATTGTTTACCCACATTAGATGTTTTAGATTCCAAAAAGTGGTCAATGATGGGTCGGGCCAAGGACAAGCATCGCAGTGAACTTCACCTCGGATCACATTGTCAGCATTTTACCGCGAGACTTTGTGGCACGGAAGCCCAAGGCTCCCAAGGCAAGGCGATCCATGATGATACAAGCTGGTGCCCCCGTTCGATAGCTAAGTTGGTTTATAACTCCAATAACTATGGTTTTTGTTGGTGATATCATAGTGATATATATATATATATATCTATAATAGTTAATGAGCTTATAACCAATTTATAAACTGGGGGGGCACCAGCGTGTACGTGATGGGGATTGATCGGCCATAGATTGGTTTGGTGGCCGATGGCATGATTTGGTGGCGGATGGTGTCATTCCTGTTTCCATGAGATGAGTCAACGTGGCAGCACAACTTCCGATCCGCTCGGCATATTTGGTCTGGTTTCTTGTTCGTAGTGACCTCGAGTGTTCAGAAAACAGTCGAACTTCAGATTCATTGTCAATCATCCTCTTATAGATGGGCCATGGTCGATTGGTGAACTGGTTAGTAACTGGCTTTTCTCACATGCTATACTGTAACAGTTATTAAAAGTTATAAGCCATGATAAACAGTTATAAGTTATAAGCCATGAATCCATGATCAATATTCCAGTTACTTAAGCCAGTTACTAAGCAGTGAAGCCATCTTCCATGGCTCAAAGTGCTGACCCAGGTGGATCCCACCAACGACACCCGTCCTATTGGACGAGCAAGGCAGAGATCCAACTTCTTTGGTGGGATGTTAGCAGGATTTTTAGCAGGATTTTAGTGACTTTGATGGTGATTTTGGTGATTTTGATGGGATTGCATGGGATTTATAGGGCTTTGTAATATTATATCCAACAGCAATAGGGATTTATAGTGACCTCATTGTGACGTCACTAGAATGATGGCTAGGATTGGGAGAATAATTTCAGCTCAGTGAATTAGCAAATAATTCAACCAGAATCGATGCCATCTCACTGAGCTAGTGATTAGGAATAGCGTGAAAAGACCAAGACCAAGTATACTAAGACGAAGTATATGCCAGAGTATTACTATGTTACATACCATGTTACACGCCATGTTACATAGCATAATATACTATTACTTGCTATTACTAAGTATGCCATAGTCAAGTTACATGGTTTATTTTTCCCATGGGGAACAGTCATCCCACCATTAAGTTTACCACCTGTAAGGAATCCAATTTACCCAGGGATCATGGTAATCCATGGCTTTTGAAGTCATACTGTGAGTTTGTAGCTATCATATGCTATCATATATGACTATGTAATACTATGTATACATATGTATACCATGTTTGTTGATGGAATTGGTTCGATTTTAAGGCCTCTAATCATGATCTTTCAAGTTCAATGGAGGTTCTAGTCATAGCACAGGCTCCCAATAACGTTACATACAGGTTGTCACATGTTGACTTGAAACTCTAAATTTCACTCATTGACTTGCTGATTGTCACGAAGGTCCATCACCTATTGGGTCGGAGCCTGCGGGCAAGCAAGGTCGATATTGAAGTCCACAAATACATCAAACATATTGGAAACATTTATATATATGTTCATATTGTACAACATGACGTTGGTGTATTCTCCCACATGCGTGGGTCATTTTTTGCAGTAAGTGTTTGATAAGTCTACCATGACATAACGCATATGGTGTCAGAATGAATAGGACATACCAGAATCTGGCGGTGCCGATCGAATGCCAGCAATCTCAACTAGAACCAAGGCAGGCAAAAGCATCTATGTACATCTATGTACAACAAAGCATCTATAGTCTGTACATATCACTGGAAATCAAATATGGCAATGGAAAAGGTGGAAGCATGGCAACCATTTTTGGATGATATTTTCCCATGAAAACCTCCGGACGCTGCAGATCACCCCACCAAATCAGAAATCGCGAACCACAATTTACGACGAATGAATGATGCGAGGAGAGAAAGCCCCTCAAGTTATTGGCTTAATATGGTTGTATATGGTTTGATAAGCCAATGATTATCAATGACTATCAAAAATTAAGGTGGAAATCAAGTTATTGCCTGATATTGCTTGTTTTAAACCGTGAGTCACAACACTTTTCATTTCAGTTCATTTGTCATCTTTAATTCCTCCCCCCTGGTGGAACATATTGGATCTTTTCATGTTGAGCTACGAAGAAACGTGGCAGATCGCGCTATGGGATTACCTATAACAATACCCTGCCAGATTATTGGTTTATGAGTTTATTATGATTGGTTTATGGGTTTGTTATAGTGGTATTTTATTTACATGATCTATGTGATTGTGTCTGAACATGGGTGCCCTATTTTCAGACAAACCGATATGGCTGTGGATCAATATATGCCTATAAGCCATCAACCTTTAGGTGAATCAAAACATCCCAGCAATTTTTGGGTGTGGACTACCGGAGAATTCCGGAGAATCTGCAAGGCACACAGAGCTATGACGAGCACCAGCCGAGCAAAAGATGCCGTGGATGGATGATACCATGGGATAGCTAATGGATATCTATTGATCATGATTCATCTGTAGGGATACAGTCTGGTAAACTAACATAGCTATAGAGAATCACCATTTTTAATGGGAAAATCCACTATAAATGGCCATTTTCAATAGCTATGTTAAATTACCAGAGGGTATATGATTGTACCAGCCAGTTTATTATGCAATGGGAGAGGGATATGTTTCATAGCTCAAATAGAGATCTGATATGATACATTATGACACAACATTGAATCATACATGTCTCCAGTTCCCACCTTTATGCACGAAAAAGGAGGGGTGCTACCCAATTGTTCTCAACCATGCTGGGTGCTGAGGTCGTTGAACTTTTTTTCTGGCAAATCACATCCTTGGTATCATTGGGTTAGATGGTTCAGTGCCTCATTTCTCAGCCATAGAAGTATGATGAGTATGGTGATTTAGCCAACAGACATCAACAGACAATCAAGGGATTTTGATATGGGACTTTAGCAGCCAATCAAGATTGGATATTGGCCAGAAACAATTCGATATCAACGAAGACCGTATCACCCAAACATGCCCAAACAACATGGATGGAATGTCATTATGCATTATCCAACATGTGGGTTTCGTGGTTTTGAAGCAGTCGTTTTCATTCTGTTCTTCATTTATAAATCGGCTAAATCGGCTCACAGTTTCAGAACTATAGTAACTACATGTAACTACAGTGGCTGGTGATTCCTCGCGCCCAGTGATTGCACCTGGAATCTGTTTGCTTCAAGCTTGGAAACGTCAAAGATCATCATCAAAAAAAGTGGTCAAAAGAGGAATACCCGAAATGGTAATTGGTTAACATATTATAGCTATTGGTATCATGGCCAATTGAAATCGTTTGCCTATTAAAGATGGTGATGTTCCAGTTCGCTATGTAAACATTTACCAGAGGGTAACACCTCACCCCAAAAATTGACCATTATTCCGGGATTTAAGGATAGAACAAGTGAAAGAACATGTTCACGCTGAGACTTACAGATGATGAAGAGAGTGCTCAAAAATCATCGCCCGGTTTTTCAGCATTGACCCATAAGGCATTAGGCCCGGAGTGATCGCCCGGGCGGAGTTTTTTGGCGGCAATGGCAGCAAAGGAACGGCTCCGGCCGCGGTATGCGGCGCAAAGCGATTTAGCGTGCAGTAGGTGGAAGCACAGATTTGTATCACATGAGTTGTTTACAGGCCCAAGATGGTCCAAGGTTTTTTTTTATAGCATGTATAGATATACATATTATACAATAATTGATATACATAAATCATAGATATATATATATATATACACATAATTTCATATAATTAATATACATATATATATATCATATATGATGATATATTATATATGTATAACACTGTATCGAATTTGATATCTCCATAGCGGCATCACGACACTTGGAACGTCGCGGCTGAAGTTGGACACTGGACCCTGGAGTTGGACGGTTGGACCGTACTTGGAGCCGTGGGATTTGTCAACTGCCTGGCTCAGTATTTTTCATGACTTATACCCTCTGGTAAACATACAAAAAGCTATTAAAAATGGCCCAGTTGAAATAGTTGATTTACCCATTAATAGCATGGTGATTATCCATAGTTATGTTAGTTTACCAGAGGGTAACTCAGTTACTAAGCAGTGAACCAATCCCAATTATCCATCTCAGTGGTTCGGAAGCACTATTTCATGAGACTTAGAAACTGATGTTCGTAAGTGTGTGTTAATGGGTATTGATGGGTTAAGTTTGAGTGGGCTCAGGAATTGAGTAGAAGTGAGTGATTTATTAGCCCTTATTTTGAGTAAGTATCCTTTATTACTTCCATTGAAACTGTAAATGGAGACAAACTACGTGTTTTTTTTGAACAAAAGTGTTGTATGCCATAAATGGTCATCAAATGATAAGGAGTCCGTATTTTTTCACGAAAAAACCAAGGAATACTGAACACTGACCCAGTGACGAAAAAACCAATCTCACAATGGACCTACTCAGCAATCAGCTGGACGGCAGTACGACCAGCCACAGATCCCACTGGGTGGTCCTGTCCAGGAGTTTGCGAGTGCCATGAACCTCTTCTTTGTTAGGCGTGCTGCCACACCCGTACTCCCGCCTGCGTACTAGGAACAACATCAATCATATGATAAACCATCCCATCAATCAACCATGTGGGGGCCTTTGTAAAACATCTTAAACAGGGCTATGCCCAATGATAAACCAAAATTGGGGATGGTTTAGAATTGGCTTTGGTTTACCACATTATTAGCATCAATTTACCGGTATACTTTCTAGGGAAACTGACTGGGTTTGGCCCTCTTTGCTTCGGGATCCTGCGGTTCGAAGCTTCGGATTGAAGCAGCGCAGGCGTCGGGCAGAAGCGTCCAAAGAAGGAGTGCATCTGAGTTGCTTGAGCCAGCAAGATGGGTCAGCTACAATTGGGCTGGAAATGAATAACTTCATTTGATACTTGGAATACACATAAGTAGAACTTGTATCACTATCATTCAGGTTAGAATGCCCTCATTTTCCAGCTCTGAAAGACAGCCACATATGGTAGTTTCCATAAATGGTGGTACCTTAATAGCCAATAGCTGAATGGTTTATAAGGGAAAATCCATCTATAAATGGATGATTTTTCCCCCATTTCAGGAAACCTCCACATGAGCTAGCATTGGTTTTGACTTATTTTTTTTTCAACAGACAGTTTAAGACAATGATTGTTTGTCCAAGTTAGGATTCCTGACTCAGTAAATTTTGTTAAATTTTGTAAAGTCGCACAATTCGGAGAAATTGTTGGATATGAAATTACATCATATCATTTGCATACGTCGAAACTGATTATTGGCCAAGATTTCTATCCAATAGTACCAATTTGCAGGCAATTGTGCATCTACAACCGCCACAAGACCAGCCTTCACCATAATGTTTCATAAAACAAGTTGGGGAAATCACCTGCGATTTGGGTTCGAGTACCTTCCGAATCGCAAAACAATGTCGTGTTGGTTTACCAGTTTCTTTTACCTTGACCCTCAGATCACAATAGCAACTAGGACAAACCTATGGTGAGGCTTGGTGTTGTGTTTTGCATTCATTTCTTGATTTCCCAATGTTGGACGTATGATTGAAAGCTCTTGACAATCTCATCCACTCAGGGCCCTGTTTCGCCCAGGTTTCCCCATGCTTCGCCAGGCGTCTTTTTTTTTTCAACATGGGGGAGTGATTCTCACCTCCAAATGATTGGACACATTATGGACTTATAGGATCTTTTAATTCGGGACATATTGGTGAGACATTCATAGCCTTTCTTGATTGGTTGGGATCTTCATGACGGTGCCTTACCACTGGGACGGGAGTATGCGCAATGCGCAATTCACAACCCGAAATCCAGTAGGATTTTCCAATCACCACAACTGCAGGGTTTTGTTGGACCACAACCACAGTACAATAATTCGTGTATGGATGAGATGGTGGGATATGGGTTTCTCTGAAAATAGGGTACCCATGGGTACCCCCCAATTCTCCAATTTGATGGTTCTCATCATTTTCTCACTAAACTTGCCAGTTAGAGGTATGCCACATCCTTCAGAAAAAGGTCAGCCGATTGCTTTCATCGGAATGAGGTACCTGCCAATTTTTCATGCTGCGAGTTCTGTGCATCCTGGTACTTGGTAATATGCATCCAAGGAAGGAAAAGTGATGAACTAAACTAAACTATGGTAAATGGTTGTAGTTCTATATAGTTCTATGTATAAAATCATACGTAGTATACTAAGTACGCATATGCACATATGATTCATATATCACATTATGTAATGTCATATATCATATATGACATATCATGCATCATATGTAATACATCACATGTCACCCATCACATGTCATATATCATACATCATATATCATTGTCATGTATTATACATCATAGACCGTATATCGTATATCATATCATATCATATGTTGGAATGTTGCAGGCGATATTCGCGTGATTATCCGTTTACCAAGATTCTGATATCCGGATATGTTCTCGTCGGTTCTATAATCATTTTTTCTGATAATTGAACACATATGATTACACTCATATCATGCCAATCACTGGCAAACATATTTCGATACACATACTCCCTGGCAATATAACATAGCTACTAGTAACTAGTATGGAACATTGCCTTGTTTCATAGGTTTTGATTCCTCAGCTTACCAAATGACATTTTTGTCGTAGTGAATTGGAGCTTCGCCCATCTTCAGGCCTGGTCCGAGCTCGGGGACGAAGAGAGATCTATCTACCAGGAGGAGGTGAAAAACCACGCGACGCTGGGGCGAGTTGGGAGGTTGAGCTGGGTGCTTCACCAACTTCAAAGCCATTCAAGTAGACTGGGGAAAGTCCAGTTACCCTCTGGTTATGACTAACATAGCCATGGTATAGATGGCCCATAGAAATAGATGATTTTCTCATTAATACCTCCATTTAGTTAGAGGATCATTCTGAGATGGGAAAGTGCTTACTCACTTGCGATCCCTGGGATGCACCCAAGTAAAAACGTAGACGAAAGATCTGCGGAGAACTAACATAGAACCATGGGGAAAAGACAATCACATAAAAATCCCATGGTGATGGGTTCGGATGATGTTGGGGTTCCGGATTTGACCAATAAGGTTCGAGGACTTTTCAGAAAATGAGGAACCAAACACACAAAAAAAACGGAAAGAACACATCCCCAATATAACCATATAATATATTATATATATAGATGTTACCATCCCCAGTGGTAGGTTTACTGTTGGCTTCACCAGAAATCGGCATGTGCCATGTGCCATGGTCAAGCCAGTCATGGGCGGGTAGAGAGGATTCCCATTACACGGCTGCCACGGAAATGTGGGCCATGGCACAATGGCACATGAAAGAAAAACCTGAAATGCCTGGAAGCACAGGAACTATTAAAATCTGGTTGGTGGTTTCAAACATGATTTTTATTTTCCATAATATATGGGATGTCATCCTTCCCATGACTTTCATATTTTTCAAGATGGTTAAAACCACCAACCAGATTAGGATGATGTCAGGAAATCATGTGGTTCTGGATCTTTATTTTCCATCCCCAATAGGATCTCAGTTGACCCTCACAGATTTTTGGGTTGAAAGTGCGATTTCGCACCTACCAGCTGTGTTTGAATGCTTGGATGGTTTACATTGGTTTACCCCGTTAAAAATAGTAAAAGGAAATTGCCGCATCACCAACAAACATGCGAAGATTATCATGATGATCCTGCAGAGAAATGGTGAAGAAATGGATAATTGGATACTGCAACTTGGGTGTATGCCAGTATGTGTTTACACGGGGTCATGACCATCCTTGGATGTGCGCGCCCTTCAAGTACCAGTTCTCAACCTATTTGACCATAGTTGGAGTAGTTGTGAGTCCAGCCAAGTTGGGATACGAATGGCTGGCTATATCTGGAATCTTCTGGCTTCTCGCGACTGTCTATAGCTGCTGTGTCATTATGTGGACACATCAACGAAAGCTTTTGGATCAGCTGGGGAATGTCGCAAAATGACCCCCAAATCCAAACCCACGGTGGCCACGGTAAGTTGCTAAGCACTGAGCTACCACTTTTGGATATTTTTAGATGAGAAATGATAAACACGAGGTTCCCCCATGTGAAGAAATCCTCAGCTCCCAGTCCTAGAGGCCCGGCTTCTGGAGGCACCTAACTTTGAGTGGGACAGTGGCAGAGTAAAAGTTCGTCACACTTTTAAGGCAACGTGTTCGTAGAAGTTGTAAGCTTCCCTCACTGTCAGCCCTTTAGAAACCAAATAATTATAATATACAATAATATACATACATATACCATATAGATACAATTATATACATAAATAGAAACAGTGCGAATGGGTAAACTAACTTAGGTTATCAATCATACCCTCTAGTAATTTAACATAGCTATTGAAAATGACCATTTATAGTTGATTTTCCCATGAAAAATGGTGATTTTCCATAGCTATGTTAAATTACCAGAGGGTAAATCCATTGTACATCCAAGTACGGAGAATTCGACTGTCTCCTGAGGATGTTATTCCCTGGAACCCTGGTAGAGTGTATTGAATCCATTCGGATCATGTCCAGGGGGGTGATCATGGTGTTCCATACTGGGGATAGGCAGTAAACATAGTCCTCAACCAGGGCAAAAGACACAACACATAGGTAAATTGCCGCAAAAGATGGTCTGGCCTGTGCACTTGTATGATTTAGCCTCATTCCTGAGTTTCACGAAATCACCAGTTTGATGCCTCATCTGTATGATCAAGACTATTGAATTGAATCGTGATGGTTGGATACATCGCCTTTGCTTCTCTCATGTTGCCATAGTCAATGTTTTTCAGCGGCGAAAAACCATGCCAATGCCGCGACTACCAGAGGTGTACACTACCGGGGGTCACCATGGGATACTGGGACCTCCGAGGAAAGGAAGCGCCTTTGATGCGAAGCAGCGGCTGTTGCAGCAGCAGGCGCAGCAGGAACTTCGCAAAGCCGAGGTGAAACGAACGCGCCTCGGACGAACCGACCGCTGAACCATAGATATGAAGGCTTTTTGAGATGTCACTGGGATTAGCATGGCCAAGATGATATTGAAATTGGTTGCCTATCTTTAGTAAGGGGCAGATTGGGGAATTACAGTCTTATGTAGCAGAGCGCAGCAGTTGTTGTCAGGGGCTAAGAACAAGCAGCTAGCCAATCCAGGATAAAAACAAGTAAACTCTATCAATTTACATTGTGGGGGCTAACGCGTACTCGTGCTATGGAAATTGCAACCCCTTGAAATCTCACTCTTTTTATATCTTTTTTGGCACCCCCCAATTCTGAACTATCACCAGGTGTATCAGAATATATCAAAAAAACCCAACTGGATATATTTTGGATATATTCTGAACTATCACCAGGTGTATCAGAATATATCAAAAAAAACCAACTGGATATATATTGGATATATTCTGAACTATCACCAGGTGTATCAAAATATTATCAAAAAAACCCAACTGGATATATTTTGGATTGTCCATGGCTATGTTAAATAACCAGAGGGTATCAAAAACCCAACTGGATTTTGTAGCTTACTTCAGAGAAATCCAAGGCCTAGCAGATACTCCCCGCGCTCCAAGCGACCAAAGTCGTCGCTGGCCACGAGTTCTCCGCTGCCCACGCCCCGCTTCCCGCCGCAACGGACACGGGGGGGTCCCTGGTGCGGGTGCTGGGACTTTGAGCACCTTGGAATACCTTGGATATGAACAACAAGTATATAGTACTGTATAATTATATTATATATATATATATTCTGGGTAAATTAAAACGACCTCACTGCGACCTCACTGGAATCATGGTTAGTAAGGGAAATCATCCCCAAATGGCCTTAATTCAGGTTCGTGAATTATTATAATTTACCAAGATATATTATATATATTATATGTATATTTTGTTTTTTTTATACTACATATTGTGTATTATGTAGTATACATTATATTTTGAATACTATATATTATTTATATTGTATAGTATTTATTTATTCTATATTATATACTATATATTATATACTATATATTATATACTATATATTACACATTAAATATTACATATTATATACGATATTATATATTATATATTATATGGTTTATGTTATATATATTATATATTATATATTATATAATATATATTATATAATATATATATATATATTATAGGATATTATATATTATATACTATATATATGTTTTGTTATATACTATATATATACGTATATCATTATTTATTTATGTATGTGTATATATATATACATTATATGTTATATGATATTTTTTTTTATATGTTATATTATATAGTATTAGGTTATATATTATATATATATATATCAATTGGTTTTATTATTTAATGTACTGTATTATATATATACACATTATGTATTCATTATGTATTATATTATATATCATGATATATATATATATTACATACTATATATGACTTGTCATATATTATAAATATATTGTATACTATTTGTTTTTTGTTATACACTATATATTAGATATGTTATATAATTTATATCATATATAATATAACATATATATGTTATATCACTCTATCTATATTATATATAATACACGTATGTAAGTAGATAAATAGATAAGTAAATAAATAAATATATATCACTGGTTGGTGGTTTCAAACACTTCTTCAAGCATATTTGAGAGGACATTCCCTTCCAAAGGCTTGAAACCACTCACAGCTGACCCACGCAGGAGACCGGGCCCAGAGGCCCTAAGTGAAGCTCTGAATGCCCTGCGAAAGGCTTGAATTTCGGTACCACCTTAGGTGATGCCTTAGGTCGTTAGCGATTTTTTGGAAGTAGGTTACCTAAGTTCACTATAGGTTTATAACATGATGATGGGTCAAAACCTATTATTACCATACTTGGGGGATTAAACATCCATTAACCAGCTATTTAAGGGTGCCTAGGGACCCAGGGTAACAGGATTTTGACTCATAGCCATATTTACACATACATATCCATATATGTACAGTAATAGTTAAAAGGGTTTGTAGCCAAACTTCTAACTGGGGAGAACCACCTTGCATCGGATACTAACCACTTTATTGATATATTTTTGGGATACATATGGGATACACAAGCAAGCTCATATGATATTTGGGTGTAAGCCATTTGGCTAGAGATTTAACCACATAAATGCGGACAAAACAGCAACTACTACAACTATTTTATGAAGATAACATTGGGATCTACTCGGATACAATGGGATATATGCAAATATAGTTTCAGCATGTTTCAGCAATATGATTTGGGTTGTCGGGAAATCGGTCTGCCCAAAGGGCCATGTTTTTCGCACGCTGCTGGCTGGGTTCAGGCATTTTTTAGTTGTTCTTGAATCAACCTATTTTTGCTTGGTTGAAATTTGACTTCTTGGTAAAGTTCCCTTTCTTTCCCTTTGCATCCCTCATTTATTTCGTCATTAAACCCCCTGGGTCCCTCATTTCAATTTCTGTATCTCTTCGAAACCAGGTGGCCAAAAGTGATGAAAATCTTCCACCACCAGCGGATTTGCGATGTGTGGGGGAACCGAGGATGGCAATACCCGACCTTAGAATCATCAATCGCAAGAGGTTGGAACATAGTTGTCTAACCCACAAGTGGCAGGGTCGATTTGTTAGTTGGATGGGGCGGTAAAATTCAATACCCAGTTGTTGAGTGGTGAATGGCTATATTGCCTGGTGAAAAAACCTGGTTTGTAGGTCACAATTAGAAGATAAATTCGGGATGGACCGATACCTATTGAGCCACACTAATATTTCATGGGATGGGTTTTCGGGTTTTCAGATGAAGAAGCACGACGCGGAACAGTGGAACATCTTTGATAGAATATAACTATAAGTTGTATAAGTGTATAACTATAACTAAATCACCTCTCTAGTTGCAAAACCGTTTTTTTCTGAAACTTAAACATTTTCATGTTTTGATAACTCTTTCGCATCATCTCGACCTGGCGAACGTCACCATCTTCTCAGTTTTTCAAACGGACAAACCTCCCACAAGTCCATCAACGTCTTGAACCAAATAGATCCGTAGATTTTTTTGGGCCTAGAGGGTGCCCGTTTTGCATAGATTCCACGGAACATCAATGGGCAAACCATATGATACCATATGTAGGGTCCTTAATCATATTCAAATGGGTAAAACTATGCTGTTCATTCCCTGTTTTTGTAGGTCAGTTCCCCATTTCCATGGTTTGCCTCCCCTTGTATTGGCAGAATCCCAATGTTTATGGCTTAAGACCCAACGTTAATGGGTCAAATCAAAATCTCCGTGGCTTTGGTGCCAATTTTTATGGCTCTATGGCTGAATATGGTCCAACCTTTTTTTGATGGGGTAAATTTCAAATTTCATAGGTCATATCCTTCAAACTGCTGAAACATTCCATTTTTCTACGGCTTCAATCCGAATTCTTTAACCTGTTCCGTGGCTTAAATCCCTGGCTGTCTATGGCTTAAATCGCACCATGGCTTCAAGTTCAATCCCTAGCGATTCGGCTTCTAACTACTAACTCCCAATGTTTATGTCATTGGATGTTGTTTTCTTCGGGAAAATTAATGGGACCCCCATATTTCAAATAAAAAATCATGGGAAAAAAAGCCATTCGGAAAAACCCAATGGGTTTCCGGCGATTTTCCCAAGACCAGCGGCCAAGCGGCCCTTTTGAGGTGGCGCAAAGGCTCCTTGGGCCGCGCTTGTCGTTCGACTGGACCTCCGATGAGGAACGCGAGCTGGAGGTGGTTCCCGACAAGGCGGGATGCTGGGCTCATGGAGGCGGGTGGAAGTGGGGGTTGATTTAAGGTAATTTAGATGATTTTAGATGATTTTGGATAATTTTAGATGATTTTGGATATTTTTATATAGATGATTTAAGATGATTAAGATGGTTTAAAGGTTAAACAAGGGTGAAACAAGAAACATAGGGGTTTCATGGGATATTCTTGGGGATTCAATGCAATGTTCATGGGGATCATGTGGGATCATGGATAGGTCCTATTTGTATCCCCATATCTTCATAAGAATGGTTGATGTTACCCTCTGGTAAACTAACATAGCTATGGAAAATCACCATTTTCAATGGGTAAATCCACTATAAATGGTCATTTTCAACAGCTATGTTAGTTTACCAGAGGGTAGACCCCAATGATCAATATTGTTGGGAATATACCATCTGCATGGTAATCAAACAGTTTGCCATGGAAAAGGACCATTGATATATAATTATATATAATATATATATATATAGTAATTGGTAAACTTCATTTGAAGATTACTGTACCAGAGGATAGGCATGATTGCACCATCATACAGTCAAGGCACATACATCCACATACCATGAATATCCAGCCCAGAACATGGTCGATTCCGGCAAGAACCATTGAGCAGAACCATGATCAGAACCAGTTTGCAGGACCAGGACGTACGGAAACTACTGCGAGAGGCAGCCGGGGAATGTTCAGCCATGTCTCCAAAGGCAGAACTTTGACATCATTCCAATGGTGTTTATCAATGGACATCACATGTAGGACATGTGGAATATGTGGAATGACCCCCCAGTCATGGTTGGTTACTGCAGCTGCTTTCTCTTGCCAACATCGATCTGTGAAACTGAAGGTGTCACTGGGCATCAGTAGCCAAACATGCTACTTACGAGCCTTACACAGTACATATAGTACATGTTAAAACGAGTCCTGATTTGTAGTTGGGGAAGCTTATTATTTATTTCCTTACAAGTCCTGGGACCTTAAAAGAAAGGACCAGGAAAAGCCCGGGAGCGGTTCGCTATGTTTTGATCAATCACTTTGGTGAAAGATCAGATATATTGAAAAGCCATGCTCACATTACTCGCGATTACTGTACTCACGATTTTCTTTGTAGTTCAAGGGTCTTAGCGTACCGCACGGGTCTTTACTCGTACCTTACGGTTCCTACTCACGAAAACTATAACGATTTCTCCCGATTTCGAATTTCACAACATGCTGCAGCTTCTGCATTTTCATTTTGTGCCCCGAAAGCCGCAGAATCAACCACATCTTCACCCCCAAACTCTCAGGAGTTGCAAAGAAGCGTCTCCGTGCAGCAGGCGCGGGGATCTTGAATTACTGTTGTTCTCGATCTCGTTCTGGTTCACGTTAATGTTCTTCTTTTTCTTCTTCTTCTTCTTTTTCTTCATTTTTTCTTATTTTCTTTTTCTTCTTCTTTTTGTTGTTGCTGTTGCTGTTGCTTGTTGTTGTTGTTGTTGGTGGTGGTGGTGGTGGTATGAAAAAATGGGATGGTCTACCTCCTCCCAAGTTGAAAAAAAAGACAATGTTTAGTGGAGGCCAGTCTTGCAACGCCCTATTTAGATCTATTTAGGATGGTCTATGATAGCCCAAAATTGACAGTCAACCCCAAGTGAGGGACTTGCGATCAGCTTTCTTTTGTATCTATATTCACGCGAAGTGGGCTGTCCATGTAGATGACCCATATGACCCATGGGTACGGGTCATGCATCCATGATCTTCCTGATGTGGGGATGATGAGCGTCCAGCTACACGCCAGCTATATTGATGTGAACTACTGGGGCACAGGCCTTGACGTTTGACATACCTGCTGGTAATGTAACATAGCTATGGAACATGGAACATGGCCCATTTATAGACAATGTACCTATCAAAATGGGTCATTTAAATCATGTTCAACAGCTATATCAAATTACCAGAGGGTATGGGTAGATGATAGAGATCTCAAAGGACCTCACCTCACCATTTCTTCTTTGCTTCTTTTGGTAAACCGACTTATGAATCGTCAGTTCATGGGTGTTTTTTACATAACAGCTGTACCAGAATTTCAACCGAGCAATCAGATTGACCGACGATCATGTTTAGTATCTATATCTATATATAAAAATATAAATGTATAATGTATCTAAGATTTGCCATAATTCAATATGTTATATGCGTCCATAGATTTATATAGATAAGTCATCAACATGCAGCTGCATAGTATCTGAGACGCGCCATGATCTATGCTGCAATGCCAGCAGTGCAAGGCAGACTCCGCATACGCCAGCACATTTTGGTGATTGGACCCGGATTGAATCCAAATTCATCATAAACGTGGGAAATCCAGGACCTAAAACCTACTATTTGGGAATATAGTTTACAATTTATTAAAGGGCTTACGCCCCCTGCCGCCGACCCCAGATTCGAGCTTGATGTTTTCCTCTGGCTCACTCCTCGCCCTGGTTGGGGGCCAACGGGCCAACTGCCATTTTGTCTCAATGATGCGCTTCTTTGGACGTTCGACCGGGAGCTCCCAGGACAGATGTGCTGTGAGCCTCTGTTGCATGATTATTATAGCCATCAAACTATGGGGATATAAGTTATAAGTAAGATTAAATGTAATGAATGAATGTGATTGATAAGTCATAGTTGGATGATAGTTGGGGTTACCTTATCCCCAAAAACTCGTGGATTGTCATGAATTTGATAAGTCATAGTTGGATGATAGTTGGGGTTACCTTATCCCCAAAAACTCGTGGATTGTCATGATTCATTTTCACCAACCAGAGGACTGGTCATCGACGAGGTTCGGCTCTTTCCAATCTCTAGAGATCCAGCTCTACTTTGAGAAGTGGGGCTTTGGTCCTGACATGGTGGGGTAGCCCGGAGTGGGCTGCCTCGGTAGACGATTCGGGTGTTGAACTTGATATAACTTGATAGATTTTGGCGGATTTCCTTAGGGAGTATCTCAGCCCCAAGCCCTAAGCCATCCATCTCTTTTGACATTGGCTGCAAGTCAGTTGCACTGTTCCGTTTGTGGACAATTCACAGGCTTGTGTCGGGGGGCTGATTTATGAGCACCGTGTTGCGTTTCTTTGAGCCGTACATAGCTTAGTGGTCTGAGTTGTAAGATTGGTAGGGGTCAGTATTTCGTGGGTGCTGAGAAGCTCCAGGTTACATGTGCAGGAATGCAGCATTTTTGGGATCAAGAAGCGGTAAAGAGTTATTGCAATGAGTGCCGTGGATTTGACCCTGGACGAAGCTGACTCCAGATTGCCAGAAGCCAATGTCGCGAAGCTTTCGCCAGAGGCAGCATTAGCACATGCACAAGGTCTTTCTGGGGGTCCTGCCCAGGAGTACGGCACGCCGAAGAAGCGGCGGGTGTCTGGGGGGAACCGGACAATTCCCTCTGCAACTATGTGTGAGTGTGTGGCGGATATTCATGGAGTTCCGGAAGCCAAAGCTGCCGTGTCCTTTGAAGGCTTTGTGGTGGAGTTGGGAGAGGCGAAGCAGATTGCAGATGGGAAAGCTGGCTCACGAGGTGTGAGGAAGGTGCTGAGCTTCATGCTTGCAGACGGCGGAAGCATCATACAGGTGAACTTGTGGAATGATCTTGTTTCAAAAAAGCAGAGAACTATTGAGACAGCCTTTCAAGATTCGGAAGCATTCCCCAGGATCCGAGCAACAAACTTTGAGGTCATCGTGCTGGGGAAGTGTGGTGGCAAAAGGCTTGCAAAGGTCCAATCGATCAAGAGTTCCGACATTGAGGTTGTTGGCGAAGGATCCGTATCAATTCACCCATCCCTTTCATGGATCGTCACAGATTTCAACTGCCTTGGTGAAGCGTACGAGTGTGTAGCGGTGCAGGGAATCATCAGTCGCATCGGGGAAATGAAGCATTCCCGAGCAGGCTGTGCGATGCAATCGTGTATCTTGTTGTCGCCAGAAGGCATTGGCCTGCCGTTGATGCTGCATGGAGACAAGTTTGTGAACGATCCCGATCTGATGAAGGCCGGTGTTGAGGTACTTCTGTACTGGATTACCGCGCTGCCTGGCCTGGAGCGAGATGATGGAAATGAAGAGCCTTCATTTTGGTGGCTGTATCAAGAACATGTGATGTTGCAAACTGGAATGAGGGCGAGTCTTCCGTCGTGCAGGAAGATCTTGGAGGTTGGAGGACGAAAAGATTGAGTCATTGTCCAACAATGTACGTTTGAGTCTCCCAGTGTTTAAATGAGGGAGTCATTCGTCCCGCAAGCATGTACAGAGTGAGCTAGATGATGTCTAGTAAGCTCATTCTTGTGGAGTTTCCAATACTGCAGATTTAAGCTTTGAGTGTAGGGAGGTATAGCAGATGTCCATGTTTGAGTCATTACAGCTGTGCAAAGGCATACTTTGATATGGTAGGGCTTCGGCAGTCATCGCACGAATTTGGGTTATGCCGGAACAGGCAGTGCAGTCTGATGGTGAGGAAGCAGCCTGATAGTAGGCTTGCAGCCAATCCTTTTACTTGATTGCTTGGTGCATACAGTTTGAAGCCCGAGGAAATCAGTGTACAGTGGCAAGCAAGGAAGCCAGAGCGTAGCAATTGTGCTCAGTACAGATCCAGTCATTGAGGCACATTGGAAACGCAGGAATGATGCATTAAGACGGTTTCGATGCCTGTCGGAGGCTGCAATAAAAAGTCGTGCGCCATTTTGGTCATTTCGTGCTCCTGTTGGAGAGCAATGAGAGGTCAAACAATGCCAATCTATTAGAACGCTTGGTTCTTCTGGCTTGGAACGAGAGGAACGAGCAGGGATCGATAGAAAAGCCGCCTGTTCTGCTTTTTGAACTAATGTCAATGTCATGTAGCAAAAACGGTTGTGCCTAACACAGAGATGTGCCGTCCTTCCGTGGCCAAGGAAAGTGCACGAGTTCTCTCGAGGTGCGCGTGGTTGTCGTGTCACAAAAGTTTCAATGTGCATCGAACGAGTGATATAAAATTGAATAATATTATGATATATGAATATATATATTATGCATATTGAAGCCGA